AGCTCTCTCAGCCCGTGATTGATTGTCTCCCCCATCCTCGTGGTTCATCTGGTTATTGGAGGCGGGACACAGCATGTTGTCCAGCGGCATTGAAGGCTGGTCCTAGCTGGACTTGTTGTCACCATGCTCTGCCATGATAGTCAAAGCCTTGGCATCCGGCTCTTCTGGATTCAAGGAATCGAATGAGACAACTAGAGTTTATATCTGAGCATACTTTCTGCGAACGAAATAAAGGCTGGTGAAGCCTTTCCAGGGATAAATAGATGCCGGAAGGTACTTTGGAGAGGTGGGGTTGAAACGCCAATACAGTGCCAAGATATTACATGATATTTAGCACACTGCTTTACAAATTCATACGGCGCCAGTTATGGGCTAGTTATCCTTGGCAGAAGCACAGCCACTTGGTCACGGGCTGTGGCGCAGTAAGTTCGGGAGTATAAAGTTAGGCTGCGCTCTGCCTCACTTGGAATTGTCTAATTCGCCTCACCGCACATACCGTACGTCAGTACTCATTTACCCCTCCTAAGTTCAATCAAACGGATAGAATCAGCGATGGGCAACGAAGGCAAACCTGACACATATCCACGACCACATAATCTCCTGCGACTGAATCGAGATGACAGGTTTCTAGCCGAATACAGGGAAATGTACCTTTTCATCGGGAACGCTTTCGTCAGCCGGGGAAGCAAAACATCATCGCCAACGAATGTCTTTGCAAATTCTCCTGTTCCTGACAGCTTCCGGACCGCGGAAGGGATGTACATCGTAGCTGATGCATATGGAGTATGGCGTTATCTTTTGACACCTGCTGGTTTTGTGCTAGTGATGGAAGGAGGCGATATCTATGACGAGCAAGCATTGTCGAAGGCGGTCAACGAGACCTTGGATTGGAACCTCGAGGAAGTGGATACCTCATCCATTGCAACATACATATTACTTGAGGAAGAGGACACCGTCATGGGGCCCCCCGATGAGAGACCTGGGAATAAAGTCTACTGGATCCAGCGCGTTGGCGAACACCACACTCCGGCTAAAAAACCGGTCAACCCCTATTACTACAGGCAGATCCGCCTCTCCGATACATGTCGCGCTAAAGATGGGAAGCTTTTTGAGGTCTAAGTCGCACCCTTCTTTCATCCGAGAACACGGCTTAGAACCCATTCTCCAAAACCAATCCACACCATACGAAATCATTGGCGTCACCGGCGACAACAATTTGTCAGGGCTGTCGTTTTGCCAGATCTGATTCTCGGACACCACTGCCTTCTCGCAAAACTCAGCCTCTCAGTTTGTTTACCCTCGGCGGAAACTGCAGAGCCAATAACTCACATTCCCGAAACGGCCTGCATTACGAAAAAAGACCAGACACATCTTGTCTCATCACAATGAACATCCTTCCCAATCTTGGGCGAATAATTTGGAGTTACTCTAGTTAATTTGCCAAACTTCGATGCCCTGATTTCACGATTTGTTTCCTCCACTTCCCCCCTTCGCGAAACAGGCGGTCTTCGATGTTCTGGCGCGCGAGGGGTTCGAGGATGGGTCCGCGACCGCAGAATCCCGACCGGCTGTTTATGGGGTTTGGGACGCAGGCCACTTCTGGTCGAGCGTCTGGATATGGGGGAAGAACCGGGACAGCTTCTGTTCGTCGTGGCCGTCTGAGTTGATGTGCAGGCCATCGCATGTATCTGCTCGAGAGCCGGACAGACATCCATCAGTAGTTTAGTTTGGGCTTGGAAATCACGTAGGAAGGGCTCGATTTTGTCGCTGGGTCTTTGTCCTCCTCCTCCTCCACCTCCTCCTCTTCACTGTCGGTCTCGGCCGATTCTTCAATGTCGAGGCTTTCCAGGGTGTTGAGACCATTTTAAATTTGTGTCTTCAACAGCGTGATCACACCACCGTATGTTTGAGGAAGATCTTCAATGATCAGTGACTTACCATTGACAGCTAAAGTGGTCAGTTCCGCCGGTTACTTGACAAATATCCTGAAGAATAAGCGGGTGTTTACCTTTTAGAAATGTCTTCCCGAGAGCGCAGAGCAGCTCGAGGATACTTTGCCAAAGATCTAGAGCTCTAGCGAAACAAATTTCCAGGCAGCCGTCAGTGGTATTATCTTTCTACAGACACAGGCTACAGAACATGATGGTCACGGAGATGCAGTCATCGATAGAAACAGAGACATTCGGACAACTTGGTCCGGGATGCTCCACCTGTCCACAACCAAAACATCCTTTTCCCATTGTCGATCTCCCCTGTATTCCAATCATCGCTGACTGCGGCTTGAACTTGACCCGCGTCGTCAATGATCCGTCCGGGCATATGCCGACGTTGGTCTAGGTAGCAAGGCTAGATGACCTTTGTGTGCTAGCATGGCTGCCTCGGTTTCGGACCGGAGCAAAGTCGACAGTTTCTGTAAAAGGCAACTGGTTAACCACGCGGCCGTGTCCAGATTGTTCCAGCATCCCTTATTACCGGCTCCGTTCATATCCAGTGGCACCAAGTTCATTTGCGAGATGAGACGATCATCAGTTACAGCAGCCTCCGCCACTCCCGTTACGAAGAGCATGGAGCCGACTTTATGGTAGACGGAATTTGCTCTTCGATGCCTCTGCAATCATCCATATATACTATCGTGTGCCACTGACTGTCCGTAGCGCACTCCGGAGCGCTACTACGGACTGCTGAGCTCTCGGAGTAAAGAACGTTTTTCGAAGACCAGCATCTCTTTGAGCACTTTCTTCTCTCTGGTGCTTTGAAGCTAGGGTGTCAGCCCGATCCAACAATCGCCGTAACAGAGGTGCATCCGAGGCAAACTCTTGTTGTCCGAGGAGCGTCTCGACTTTGCCAGGAGATAATGAATCGATGGCACCTGTTACCTCTTTCTCCCATTGTTGGCGCCTTGTTTCCTCCTCTACACGCTGTCGTTCTAGAGCCTCGCGGTGGAGTCGCTCCTTCTCCCGATGTCTGAGCTGTTCTTCTTCTCGATTGCGTCGTTCTTCCTCGTTGCGCCGGTGAAGTTCTTCCTGAAGCTCAGGAAGTTTGACACTAAGGACGTCGATAAATGACTGAGTGCTGCCACCGGGAATCATCTCTTTGTGGAGCAAGTTGAGGGTGTCGGTGGTAGGAGAGGATGAGGTGATTGATAGAGTGGCTTGGTGCGTGGTAAGCTCTTTGAGGAGTTGATCGGAGGGCAGTTGAAAATCGGAAACAAGGACGCGGTGATAATTTTCGTCACGTGGGAGGGCGACAGCCTTGTCGATCACCGATATTATGGCCTTTTTCGCTAAGGTGTTGACGGAAGTATTGGATGTTCCCGTAGGCAGCTCGGAGAATGCTGCCACCTTCGTGATAATTTGTGGCAACGCGATTTCCAGTTCACGGAGCCGTTTCCACGTGACCATCTGTTCTTTCTGTATCATTGCGCTCAATTCCCCCTGTAGCCGCTTCCAAAGTTGTTGCCAGAACAGTTCGGTCATGGTTATGTGTCTGTTTCCTCCCATGGGCTGTTGTCGCCGGTATGTGGCTGTGTTAGCCTTTGGTCGATGGTCGGGTTTATGGTAGGAACTTGGAAGCTGGTTAGTTGGACACGTCGGCAGATCTTGTAGGGTTGACGGCGTGGTAGTTGACACGGAATCGGGTTGAGGAGACTCGGAGTAAAACCACCCCTCCTCCTCGAGTTGCCGGTACTCTTCCGGGTCGAAATCTAGATTCGAGGAGTCTTCCATCTTGGCTCGATGCTATACGCAGTATGCGTAACCGTCGGCGCGATCTCAAGGGCGGCTGGTGTAGACGGAAGATTGAGAATATTGTTTTTGCGCATGCGCCTTATGAACAGAGAAGGCATCACCGATCACGTGAGCAGGTTGTTCTTGGCGCATTATTTCCGGCATGGCGCGGCTGGGCTGCTCTTGAAAACCTGAAATTGCGTCTGGAACATAAGCACCGGTAGCTCATCCTTTGGTCCTTTCGACATTGTGCAATATGTTCAAGGTGTTGGCAGTGTGAAAGAGCTATGGCAGCTTCCTGATTCGCCCTGGTATTCTACTTTCCATCCCAATCCACACTGTCAACTCAGCATTCGGGAGATTTGATGACCCAGGCACGACGGTCTCCTCAAGATGACAAAATGCTTTCCCTCACTCGTTCTCCCTACAATCGATCTGCATCACTTTTTGCGAGGGAATATTATGGTGCTAAAATACTGTATGCGATTTGAGGATAGATGCTAGAACAGATGGTGTGCAGACAAAACCTTGCGCAAGAAAAATTGTCAGAAATTGTTATGAGTAAATGCAGGATACCAAAACAAGCCCCAAGAGCACTACGCTCCAAGAAATGGGAAGCGACTTTTCATCGTGAACTATGAAGGTTGACTCCATTCACCTTTCCAGCACTAGATACGGGCATTGACGGGGAGAGAACAAAACTGGTTGGAAATTATCAGAGCGAATCCATCCTCTCTTCTGCAGCTCCCAGTGTCTAGCTCCTTGCCTGTCGACGATTAGCCACAATAAAATATCGATCGCCGAACACATTTCACCTTTTGTCATTCAATATCCTTGTGGTGAAATCATGGAAGCCGAGTTTGCAGAACAAGACACTGTTGACAGGAGGTTGAATGGACAATTAGAACTGCAAAACAGAACAATAACTTTCCAAGCCCCTGGACTCAACCTCGGACATGTCTTTGTCGAATTCCTTGGGATTGGAAGGAGCGTCTGACGAGGGTTTAGGAGTCTTGGGAGGGCCGGGACCCTTTTTTTGACGTTTGGCAGATTTTCTGGCTCGGCCGGCGATGCCAGATTCCGGCGCTGCACGCTTGTTTCGGGCTGCCAAAATGTCATCGTAAGTCATGATTTTGGCCCTTCCGACAACTGTGGACCTAATCGATGATCGCGTCTTTTTTTCATTGTTTTGCTCGAACAAGTTCTTGTTCTCTGCCCGGAGGAGCGCACAGTCAGCACGCGACTTTTGAACGGCATTGCGGAACTTGGCAAATCGTCGTTTGACCGGGCTGTCAAGATCACCGATATCCTGTTCCAGTTTCTTGCTCAGCAATGTAACACCCTCAGAAGTGGTAGGGGTGGTCAGTAGGTAATTCGGCGATGGAAGTTCTACATTCACGGTCCGTGTCCGAGGACCGGGTTCCATAGCTGGTGCTTCTTGGATATGATTGAGCACTCGGTCCCGAATGAACGGATGGAGGCCCGCCTTGGACTAAGCGGACTTGATGTTCCGCGGCGTGAAGGCTTCGTCGCGTCCCCGGCTGTAAAGCAGGGTGAAGTGCTGCTTGCCTACAGTGTTAGCACCGCCACGATACAAGTTCTCGACCTTTTCACGATAAGCACTTTTGAGGGAACTAAAAACGGTGAGGTCGCACGGTTGGAGCTTGTGCGAAGTATGGGACGGAAGTCGGCACAGAATGATGTTGTTCTCGAAACAAAACTTCAGAATCTCCTCGGATTCGTGCGTT